TTTTTTACTTTGATTTCAATAATTATATATATTATTTTTTAATTATATTTTTGTTAATTGTTAGTTAGTTTAATTTATTTTTTAGTTAGGATTAATTTGTTAGTTGCTAATTAAATTAATTAATTACAAAAAATTAATTAGGACTTAGTTTAATTAATTAGGTGCTAATTAAGTTATTTAGTTGTTAAATTAAATTAATTAGGTGTTAATTAAGTTAATTAGTTGTTAATTAAGTTATTTAATTGTTAAATTAAGTTAATTAGTTGTTAATTCCACTATTTAATTGTTTTAAAAATTAATTAGGTGTTGGTTTATTTAATTTGGTGTTAATTAAGTTATTTATGTGTTAAAATAAGTTCATTAGTTAAAAAAATTCCTAATTAGTTCTTAAATTTATCTATTTAGGTGTAATTTTATAGTTCATACAAATCATGTGTTATTTTATTTTCCATCGAGAGTATATTGAAATGTAAAAAAAAATTGAAGTGTTTGGCCATCAATATTAGGATGACGCCCCAGGGATGTGACATCGCTAGAGAAATAATTGACAAAATATAAGGTCGGTGTCAATGCTCCATGATGGAGATAGGAGGATAGAAATAATTAATGTAATGTTAATTATGTTTGTTGTTAATTGAAAAACATCTAGGTTATAGGGAAACTCTACCAAAATTTTGTTAGAACTTTGATTAGTTGTAACAAATATTTATATGATGTCTAGTATAAAATTTTAAATAATAATGACTAGTTATTCTATTTTTTGCTCGAACTTATAGATAAAACTAATTATGAATTCGGATCGTTCATCGATTGACTATAGATATATCAATGTTCTTTTAAATCTAGATGTTGAATAGATCCAATCCCTTGACCTTAGTAATACAAGTGCATTAGGTGTATTATACAACATATCATATATCGAAACACATCAAGCATGATTAGTTGGTTACATATAAGGTAAAGCCGAGGGTGACGAGTGGATGTGCCGAAATTATCCGTTATGATCCAAAAAATACAAAACCATTTTAGGAAAATGATATAGAAGTCCAACACAATGTCATCCAAGTTAGCGACGATGAGGGTCAATCATTGATTGATCCAACTAGATCGTTAATAGATTTGGAAAGTGATAAAATTAATAAAGAGAATGATGTTAAATGTAAAATAGATATAAAGAAAGACTTAGATAAAAATTATAACAACGATGAAAATGATAGTGATTAACGATAAGGTTGGATTGTCTCCTACAGTTTAATTAAAATTGTTAAGGTAGCATATATGTGTGCTTATTTTAATTTAATTATAAAAGTATTTATTGATCATAAAATAAATATATTTTAACTTGTTTATGGTAATAGAGATGTTTTATAGTTATTGTGTTTGATTAACTAATTAATGTGATAATGTATAAATTATGCCTCATGGTAGGGAATGTTCTAGCATATAGTGGCTCGGATTAGATAATGAGGGACATGGTTCAAACACCGACGATGGTAGTGCTGTGGTATGGATGTGGGCTTAATCCTCGCTTTCGTTCCAAGTTGCACGTCCCCTCCCCTCGATAATGGTGCATTCCATTCTACAACCCCAATGTCTTACCCATCATCGTTTGACATGTCTCGGTATAACGCTCATCGGTTTGGACCATGTGCTAGCACTTTTGAACCTTCATTGTCATTAGGCCCCATGCCCCAACAGGACAATCATCAAGTACCTGTACATGCCTCGTCACCATACATCCCTTCGGTATATCTTTTAGACCTATCAATTTTATGTACGATCATCGCATTCTAATTACTCTTATTAATGGCAAAGAGTATGTATTATGCATATTTTTTTATGATATATTATTATATTAATGTATTTATTTAATCATTAATTGTCTTTTTTTAATATATCGTATCCATCCGGTGTGTGCCCTCATCGAATCTATAAGATATTTCATTAGCATGTTGACCTATCTAGAACAACATGGAAATCAATTATCGAGCAAACTAAAACGTTCTATTGGGAGGAGTTTAAGTTAATATGTAGCTTAATTTATTATGTGACGAGTACATTTCAATTAAGCTATTTAATGTGCATTTAAATGTACTAATGAATATTTTTAATGTTCTTGTAGAAGTTTTTTTATGTAAAAACAAGAGTTCGATCAAAGCTTTAGGAAAGCATGACATAGTCGAACATAGAAATGATATTTTGACTTTTTTTATTATGTGAAGGCACACCCAAACAAACATATATCTCACAAGAGCTATGAGGTGTATGACAGCAAGAATGGGAAAAAGCTAAGTCTCCGGCCGTATTTGAGCAAGTGGCCCGGAACCACGTGAGTGAGAGGGGTTTGTTGGAAGCACATGAGTGAGAACCACATGAGTGAGAGGGGTTCGTTGGAACCACATATCTCTTGTGAGCAAGTGGCCTAGAACCACGTGAGTGAGAGAGGTGTCGTTGGGGCTGACCCATCTAGACATACGAGAGGGTTCATTCACACACAAAGACCACGTAATACGCATAGTAAATCCTATTACACACACACACACATATATATTATTTGTAGTTATTACAACATCAATATATATATTTAAGTTTATTTGTTTTAAGGTAAACCGTTGGGTCATGTGCCTAATGCTCGCGAGGTGTTCTTGAAGACTCATGAGAAAAAGGTTGATGATAAGTAAGTATTCATCGATCGACGAAGCAAAAAATCTTAGGGTAAGTAATTTATAAGCGTATTTCGTACGTATGCCACTTTTATATAACTCATTGAGATTACTATTTAATATTAAAATTTATGTAATTATGTAGGACACTTTTGATAAAATATATGAGGAGGAGGTTTCTAGCTAGGAGACGGAGGGTACTTCAACACCCGACATTGGTATGAATGAGATTTTAAGAGGGGTCGTTAGAAGAGGAGACAAGTAAGAGGAAGAGAATGTATGAACTCATGTCATAGGTCTCTCATTATTACTCAAAAGTCGGTTCATCCTCTAGTTCGGCTACATTATAGTTGCATATCGATATTGAGGTGCACTCGAAAGGAAGTGGAGGTCAATACTCGCTAGATAAGAAGAAAAGATCCAAAAACTAGATGGTATTATTACACCGCTCCTAGAAAGTCAAAAACGGTTGGAGCAACATAATCGGGAGCAATATGTGATAATGTAGCAGATACAACAAATGTTACTAAATATGTGATGAGATAATTCCTCCACCAATCCTCCGACCGACCATCATTCGTCAAATGAAAATGTTGATATGTGACATGTAGCCCATTCATCACACTATCTTTTTTTTTTTATCGATCGTATGTTTTTATTTCCTAAAATATTAATATACTTTAATATAATTTGATGTTTGAATATCTATTGGATTGGATTATATTTTATATATTATAAAGGATTCGTATTTTCTATAATTATATTTCATATTGTTATTATAGTTGTTAAATTGAATTGGATATGTGAAAATGTAAACGAGATATATTACTTATTAAAAATATATGAACGACAAAATAATTGACTCAAAATACTATCCAAAAAAATAAAATGATTTAACAACGGTTTTAAAACCGTATCTAAATCCAAGTTAAATTTGGCCAAAGTTAGCGACGATTTAGATAAACGGTCTCTAAAAAGAAGCTAAATTTAGCAAAACTTTAGCAACGATTTTTGAGAAACCTTCGCTAAATTGGCGACCTTTTTTCCTCTCTTTAGCGATGGATAAACCATCTTTAAATTGGTAACGGAATCCTTGAACCATCGCTAATAAATTAGCGAGAAGCTTTTTAACGATGATTTTGGACCGTCTCTAAACCGTCACTAAGTTTAATTAGCAATGATTTTTTTCATTTAGCGACGGTTTAAACGAGTTGCTAAATTAACTTCTTCTTTTTTTTTTTTAATGAGTCGAACCCGTTCGTCAGTCCTTTCTCCATAGGTTTACATCCGGCTTCTTTGGAAACCTCTATATTTGAATGATGTTACAACCTGATTTTCAATTCTATTGTAGATGTTTGGAAAGGCTATAATGGTTGAGGTCTTTGGGACACAACTATCTTATGGCAACTAGTTGTATAATGACCAACCAAACCACAATTTGAGCAATAGACTATATTCCCCTCATATTCTACTCGATGCCAAAAACCTTTGTCTTTACTAGAAACCAACCAGATACATGAAGGTAACTCTTTAGACACATCCACCTCTACACATATTACATTAATTAACTTTATTTTTATTTTTTTAAAGCATTCATATGAAAAATATATTTTTAGAGTTTATTTTGAATTTTTAATTAATATTTCAATTTAAATTATTATAATTTTTTTTATTTAAGAATCAATGCATAAAAAAGAATAAATCATATTTTGTCAATAGAAAATTTATGACAAAAACATAAAAAAATTTCAATAAAAAATTATAAAATTTTGAAATGATTTTATTCTCGCTCGACTCACAACGTAATAGAACGGCAAGTATGTCATGAATAAATATTATTTGGGCATTTGAGATACAATTTTATATGAATAATTTTTTACTTCAATGGATTTTAGATTATCTTGTGAGAGAGTTCTATCCAATAAAAAATTATAAAATTTTAAAATGATTTTATTCTCGCTCGACCCGCAGCGCAACGTATTAGAACGGCTAGTATGTCATAAATAAATATTATTTGAGTATTTGAGATATAATTTTATATGAATAATTTTTTATTTCAATGGATTTTAGGTTATCCTATGAGAGAGTTCTACCCAGTATATTTTTACTCCATATTTTTTAAAATTTAAAATTGAGACTTTCTTGGTATGCAAACTCTAAATCTTAACCATTGACGTGTATCTAGCTGAGGCGCATCTTAGCTCAATAATTGATTCCTTGTCCTAGCTAGTTGCTAAACAAACTCACATGGTATGCAGTCCAGCATTTAAATTTAGTTGAATCTCTTGGTTCTTCGCATGTAGTCACTAAAACTAGAAAAGTTCAGGGAAGAAAACAATGATTAGTATAGAAGATTTGTACGGAGTTTTATGTGCAGTAGTTCCTTTGTATGTCACCATGTTCTTAGCTTATGCCTCTGTGAAATGGTGGAACATATTCACTCCAGACCAATGTTCAGGCATCAACAGGTTCGTTGCTTACTTTGCAGTCCCACTCCTCTCCATGGAGTTCATTTCAAGGATAAATCCATACAAAATGGACCTTCTCTTCATGGCTGCTGATGGGGTTTCCAAAGTCTTGATCTTGTTGATCTTGCTTTGTTGGGCTAAGTTCTCAAGAAGAGGAAGCTTGGAATGGGCCATCACTCTTTTCTCTCTATCCACTCTCCCCAACACCCTTGTGATGGGGATCCCACTGCTAAAATCCATGTATGGGGATGATAAGGAGGGCCTTATGATCCAAGTTGTGGTGCTACAGTGCATAATCTGGTACACTTTACTATTGCTTTTGTTTGAATACAGGGAAGCAAGACTAGCTGTCTTGAAGAACTTCAAGGGGAGTAGCAGCAGCAGTAGTTTTAGTAACAGTGCGAGGAGCAAGGGGAGTTCCAAGGGAACTGGAGAAGTACTTGGAAGCTGTGGAAATAATGCAGATGAAGTAGTTAATGTTATTGCCTCAACACCTACAAACCAAGAGATTACTGAAAACGTCAACAGCAAGGTTGCACCGGATTCCCAGAGGTTTACATCAATGGTAGCAGCTGCGGTGGATGGAGATGGTAAAGAGATCCATCTATTCATTTGGCGATGTGTATGTTGCACTTCTCAAGGCAAGATTATAGCTGGAGAAACAAGCATACATGTTTGTTTTGATTCATTCCTTTATGTATTCTTTTTTTGGCTAATTTAAATACTTTACTGTGGATGATTTAGGTTTCTGTGAGCAGTCACTGCAAGTTTTTCGAAAACAAGAAAGCAAGAAAAAGGGACTAGAATGTGACAAAACGGAGGGTGTAGAGAACGATACTGCTCCAACATCTTCCTTATCATCAGTTATGCTCCTGAAAATTCTGAAAACAGTGTGGCATAAGCTAGTGAGGAATCCCAACTCCTATGCAAGCTTAATAGGATTAGGCTGGGCGTTAGTCTCTTGCAGGTATTCTGAACTAGTAATTAGTGCATCGTTTCTAGAAGTAAATCCAGATTTAAAGCTCAATTATTTTACTTATCAAAACGAAAGAACTAATTAAAGCTCAACTACTTTTTTCCATTTATTCAATGATCTTGCTACTTCTGCCACACCTTTTTAATTTCATGTACTTGTTTGGCTAGATATGGAATAGAGAAGCCCCAAATAGTGGACAATTCAGTAACAATCTTGTCAAAGGCAGGTCTTGGAATGGCCATGTTTAGCCTTGGTAAGACTAGAGCAGTCCTTTCATCTATTTCTGTGGGTTCTTTTTTTATTCCTTCATATTCTACATCAAGAATCATTAGCACATGTCTGGTTACAAAGCTGATTGAAATTTCTGAATGGTAATTAAGGACTGTTCATGGCCCTGCAACCAAGAATCATAGCCTGTGGAAACAGAATGGCTATTTATGGGATGCTTGCTAGGTTTTTAGCTGGTCCTGCAGTAATGGCAGTAGCTTCCATTGGAGTAGGCCTGAGAGGGACCGTGTTAAAACTATCCATCGTACAAGCAGCCTTGCCGCAAGGAATTGTCCCTTTTGTATTTGCTAGAGAATATAATCTGCATCCAGATGTGTTAAGCACTGCGTAAGTTGAAGCTCTTTGACAATTTATTTCTAAGTCCGTGAGATTATTGCAGTTAAACTTTAGTCCCGGGATCGATCTTGAAACCAACGCAATTGTCAGCTAGAAGAAGGAAACGAAGTTTTAGTGCATTAACTTTATCATGTCAGAGGCAGTTTTTATGGAGATGCTGGTCAAGAAATCCAGGGACCAAAGTTTAACAGTGCTAAAACCTCAGGAAGTTGATACTATTACTTAATCACCCTTTCATCTTATTCCTTACAGCTTGTCACTAATAAGTTTATTATATTAATCAGCTGATTGATTTTTTCTCCGCAGGGTGATATTTGGAATGATAGTGTCTCTGCCCGTCACAATACTATACTACATTGTTCTTGGTCTCTGATGCAAGGGGTTAGAGATATATAATGGCTAGAATTAACACATCCTGTCATCATAGTACAGCAACAATGTTTCCATCTGTACTTTGGTTTTTCTTCCTATAGCCACATGAATGAGGGTCGAAGCTGCACTGCAAAGTTTCACGGCATCCGTGAAATAAGTTTTGGTAACCCATTTTTATGGTAATTAGGTACAGATTATTCTGAGACAAATGTTATTTCTTATAGTAAATTAGCTGGGATGTGTAGTGTCCAAGTATATATATATATATATGACTTGAACTTAAAATATCATGTTCAAGTCTCTGAGGAACGAAGGAGAATTTTATTGAATAGGGAAAGTATGCTTTTTTATGCGACTTGATGGCTAATTACTATTTCTGTTAACGAATCAAAAAAGAAGGAACAACACGAAATTTCCAAAAGATTTAAAGCACCTGTTGCGCAGTAAGGTCACAGCATCAGTTCCAACTTTTGAGAGGGAGGCTAGCTAATTAAAGAGTTCATGGCCTACCATGCAGCTTTTACTATACTAATGGATTTTCATAAGTATTTTTTTTTTATATATATATATACCTTTTTAGGTTTTTTTCATTAGTTTTGAAATCTTTACATTAAAACTATCTAAAATTACACTAAAAAATTATTAATTGTTGCGATTTTATGATTAAAACGTATTATTAAAAACACTTTCGAATACAATGAAACTAAATTAGCAACGGAGCCTAAGTAAATCCAATTTCAATCAACACAATATATTACCACCTAAGCACGTTACCTGAGTGTGATACAAAAAAAAAAAAAAAAAAAAAAATCAATTAGAATCCACCTGTCTTGCATATCTCTATTGTTTTCTCTTGAAAAAAAAAAAAAAAGATCAAAGAATACCGTCAAATGAATAATATGACATCTGTACAGAACACAACATCAGTTAACAAATGTTTTGAATTTTCTAGCATATTATTTTGTTGTTTAATAAAGTTTAGATTATTATTTGTATTGTTATTTACATTTTATTGTTGACAGACAATAAATTAAATAGGGCTTTTGACGTATTGGTAATGGTCTCTCGGTCTCTACTAAACTGTCAAACAACCAATAATATGTATTACGTTGCAGGAAAAAAAAAAAAAAACTATACAAGGAACAAATAAATGAAGCCCAGAACATATATAATGAAAAATAGGATATATATAGGTACTGTCAATTATTTTTCTTGTAAGAATTTCATCGATCAATGTTGATCTCATTGACATGAAGTAAGATTATATGTTACCATTGCAGTATATATATATGGGTATGGATTTTTCATTTTGAGAGGAACACAATCTATTGGCTGCAATAAAAATCAATCCAATTTTTCTGCTATCTTTATTATTCATCAACCTTTGTGTTATGGAATCCATACATGAAGTTGTAAAGGCCATAACTGGTGTCTGATAAAGAAGAGGCTTGTAAGTTGCGTTCTTTGGAACTTATTCCCATATCTTTGATAAGAAATTAAGGTGAGGCCAAAGAATCATGCTTTTTCCTTTGCTAATGACAAGACCTAAACGCAGAAGTTACAATGATATATGATCAAAGTAACCTAATTTATTGGTCTACATACAAGATTTTCTCTAAAAGAGAATATGCATTATTATGGCAACTAGAAATACGTTTTTTGCTTTACTTCCCAGATGGCAAGCACAATTTTATCTTTAAATGTATATGAAAACGTGATTAGTTAGAATTAAACAGCTTATGCACATTTCAAAAAAATTAATAAAGAAGGTTAACACTTGACTCGAATGAAATGGAATGACCTACATAATGAATATAAAGGCTTTTTATACGTACCTTTTCGGGGCCATTTCTGCAGTGTTTTTTCTGACATTTTCCCGGAAGAATTTAGATGTTTCCAAGACGAATTTTAGCAAAATAAAAACCGGATATCATGATGTTGCTGACGGATGACCGCATTTTGCAGGTCAAGGCCGAATGTGTATATCTGATCACGGCATCACCGGATAGTACAACATCCAGCTATAGTTACTGATGCATTTGGACGGCACCTTGAAAGTCGAAACTGAACTGTAAAATTAGGAAGCAAAAAAAAAAAAGGAGGCAAAACTAGTGACAGTGAATATAAACCAAGGCAATGGAAATAGATATTATGGATAGAAAAACAAGGCAATGAATAGTTCAAAAAATTGAAGAAATAGGTCACGTTTTTCCTCCCCACATGTATGGAATCCATCGAAATTACAAGCTATTTTAAGCTTAACTCTCTAAAATGAGTTTAATTGGTACCATAGTAATTAAATAAATTTTACGAATTAAAGCTAAGCCCTTGTGAAACTATAGGGACAATATTGCATATTACCTAACTCCCAAAAAATTAAGTTATCTATTTTCATAACCCATTTTTGACACTCTAATAATCATTTTAGATGTTTTGCAAGTTTCTTTTCCTTTTAATGCATAGTGTAGATTTCTTGTGAATTTATTTTTATTAAGGATCATTTTTATTAGTTTCTAATTTTAGTTTAAATTTTTATTTATCATTTTAAAAAATAATTATACAAAAAAAAGTTAAAAAATATATTAAAAAAAACATAAAAAAAAAGAAAGGAAGAAAAATATTTGAAAAAAATGGAGTCAATTTTGGTTTAATTGAAGGACCTAATTAAAAAATAATTTAAAAGTTGTATGGGTCAATTCAAAAATAATAGAAATATTAGAAAAAGAATCAAGAGCAATTGAGGGTCAATTCGTAGAAATTGGAACAAGAGAGACTAAAATGCTCTAAGGGACTTGATTGCAGAAAAAGTAAAGAGCAACAGGACTAAAATAGAAAGCATGAATAAGGAAACCATTTTCAACCCGTCAAAACCTCCAAAAAACAATACCTCATCTTCCTCTCCTAACCTTATTGGCATCCTTATTCACATCCATATCTCATGCATCAACATTATCTCTCTAACACCTAAAACAAAAACACAAGACAACAAAATTTATCTTTAGCATCCTTTGATTCCTCCACTCATGATCTTGTAAGCACATCACATAAAAAAGCATGCAAAGGAGAGAAAAGAAAGAGGACAATGGTGGATTGTCTCATACACATAAAGAGAGAAAGGTTGAGATGGAGAGAAGAAGATCTCATGGTGGAGAATGAAACGAGAGTAAGATAAAAACCAAGAGAAAGAAAAGAGAAAAAAGAGAGAGGTAGCATTTTTGAAGGAATAAGAAAGAAAAAAGAGAAAGGTAAAACCAAAATGAAAGAGCTTGGAGAGGAAAAAAGAAAGAACAAGTGCAACGAAAAAGAAAAACACCATCCAAGCATCTCAATAAGTTTGGAAAAAAGCTAATCTATCAACTTTAAGCTTTTAAAAATTTTTGAACTCCAATAGCTAATCCCCTAACTTTTTTACTTCATCCCTTATCAATCTTAGTAGGCAAAAATGCATTTGGATATTCATGGATACTAATGGATCTTAACCTAAACCTTAAAAAAGATAAGTGTTGGTTGTGTTTTGCGTGTTTGGTATAGTTCTAGATGTTTTTATTTTCTGAATTTTTTGCATGAATACCATCTATGTGTCTCCAATCCATGTGTGGAATTTCATATCTTTAGGAAAAAAGATGGTAGTCCATTTAAATCATCTTATTGGCTACGACGATGCATCGATTTTTCAAGTCAAAAATAGCTATTTTCATATTTTACATGTTTAACAAAGTCTTAAATGTTTTTACTCTCTAATTTTTTTATTTTTTATTTTTTTGTTTTTATGAGAACACCATCTACTAGTCTTCTATATATGTGTGAAATTTTAGATTTTATGATATAGGATGGTTTTCCATTTAAGTTACTTTGTTGGTTACCGAGTACTAATTTTTCAAGTCGAAGTTAGCTATTGTAATTTGTTATGTGTTTAGTATATCCCTAGGTACTTTTACTTTCTGATTTTTTTTATATGAACACCATCTATTTGTCTCCAATCCATCTGTGAAATTTTATAACTTTATCACATAGGATGGTTATCATTTTAAGTCATTTTTTTTTGTAGCATCGGTGATTTTTTCAAGTTAGAAATAACTACCGATGTATTTTGTATGTTTGATGTAGCCCTAAATGTTTTTACCTTTATTTTTTTTTTTTGTATGGACATAATCTATTTGTCTTTAATATTTTTTTTAACTTCAAATTTTTATTACAAATTTTTTTTTATCATTTAAATAATTTTGTCAACTAAGACAACAATAATTTGTCAAACCGAAATTGGTAGCTATTATGTATTGCATGTTTGATATATCTCCGGATGTTTTTACATTCTAATGTTTTTGGATGAGTATCTTCTATTGTATTTTAAGTTGGGATCAATATTTTATAATTTTAGAATGTATATTGACTTTTTATCTAAATTTTATTGGATTATTACAACATTTATTGTGTAGGATGTGGAATCATCAAGTCTCCTAAATTGTTGGGGCCGATGACGATTTCCTGTAATTTTTTTTTGTTATAATCAATAAAAGACATTCCATCTTAGGTTAATTAAAAAAATTAAGTTAAGCTAACGAGTCTTTTATTTAACAGAGACGAGACATTGGTCTTGACAACATAATTAAAAAAAGATTTGGAAAAAAAATAGAAACAAATAGAGAGAGAGAGAGAGAGAGAACATTGTTCTTTAGTGTCCCACCTTAATGCCCTTAGCTAATTAGATCGTTCCTCGACATGCCAATCATATTAGGGCACAACTGGATTTGATGTTAAATTGACAAGAATTTCAATTTTGAGACCCGATATTAATTTAATACAATTCCAAGGTAAATAAAAAAAAATTGATTTGATCAAGATGACAAATAAGCTTGGATATATACTTAGGAAATAATTTAATCAATTTAAATTTTAGAAGACACTTTTAGGATAGACTAAATTTGGTATCTTTTTTTTGACAAGAATGTCTTTAGATGATTGTTATATTTTCAAAGACACAAACAACTTTTTACCCAAAAT